GGGGAGGGGGCAGTTCCCCAGCTGGTGTGGGCTGCATGTGGCATTTCAAAGCGGCAGCACTGCATGGAGCCCGGGGTCAACTGGGGCCCCCCCCTGTGTCCCCAGCTGACCCCGGGTTCCATGCGGCGCTGCCGTTTTGAAACGCCATGGGGAGCACGGAGCCGGTCCCCCGCTGTCCCCATGCTCCCTGCAGTGCTTTCGCCTTGGAAGTGGCTGTTTGCTACACTTTAAAGACACTTCTGCCTTTGTCGACTAATCGAATAGTCGATGCAAATTGCATCCACAATTCGATTAGCCAAATCGGAATTTTACACCCCTGCTCTCACTGTCCCATTATTTAGTTCCTGAACAGAAGGACCCAGAACTGATCCCCCGCAGAACCCCAGTTCCTACACCTCTCCAGCATGACTGTGAACCATTGATCACTGTTTTCGCTGCGAACAGTTATCCAGCCAGTCATGCACCTACCTTATAGTAGCTCCAGCTACGTTGTATTTCCCTAGTTTGTTAATGAGAAGATCGTGCGAGACTGTACCGTACTCCTTACGACCGTCTAGCTGTACCACCTCCCCCACTTCCCTCCTATCCACACGACTGGTCAGAAATCTCAGATTAGTATGACGTGATTTGTTCCATAAAATCCGTCCTGTTACTTGTCACCTTTATTGTCTCGCTGTTTGCAAATTCCTTAATTATTTGCTCCTGGTACAGAAGCTAAACTGACTCCTCTGTAATTCCATAGGTTGTCCTTCCTTCCCTTTTGTAGATGGGCACTAGACTGGCCCTTTTCCAGCTTTCTGGAATCTCTCCTGTCTTCTGGGACTCTTCAGAAATAATGCTGATGACTCAGATCTCCTCAATCAGCTTGTGGAATTTTCTAAGATGCGTTTCCTCAGGTCATGGTGACTTGACATTTAGGGGTGTTGCTGTAATCCAGCCTAGAGTCCTGGGTTTACCTGGGCAAGGAACGAAGTCTTTAGGACAGGGCTGGGCAAGATATGGGCTAGGGCTTGCCCCATCCCAATGGGACCCTATGGCACGGAGCCGCCCCACGGCGCTGTAAGCCTCACCCGGCCCCCGGAGCAGAGAGCCACAGGGAGCAATCAGCTGCTTTGAGCAGTCTGGGGCCTCTGGCAGGCAGGGAGCCTGCCTCAGAGTCCTGCAGGGCTGCTGGCTGGGAGCCCCCTAGGGAAGCACCTCCCGCCCAGAGCCTATCTCTGTGCCCCAGGTCACCACCCAAATCCTCTGCACCCTCCTCCTCCAGGTCGCAACTCCCTCCAAGGCCCTAGACCCCCCCACAACTCTCCCCCTACTCCTGCACCCCAATCCCCGCCCCTTGATCACAACCCCCTCCTGTACCCAAACGACCCCACACACTCTCCTGCACCCCTGTCCCCTACCCCACGCTCCATCCCAGCCCCCCCACAGAAAAGTGCGGCCCTTGACCACCTACCAAAATCCTGGAGTGGCCCCCAATCAGAAATTCTTGCCCACCCCCCGTTAGGAAGTGGTCTGGATTCCATGCAAGTGGAAAGAGTTTGTTAAAGCAGCGTTGGGGAACCTTTTTTGGGTCAGGGGCCACTGACCCACAGAAAAATCAGTTTGGGGGTCGCACACAAGAAGCCCCCTCCCCCCAAAAAAACCCAACCAGTCCCCTCACTGACACAGGAGAAGGACCCTCCTCACATTCCCCCCCGCACACCAGAGTCTAGGCAGGCCCAGGCTAGTAGATGGTGTGCGCCGGGCTGCCCAATGCAGGGGGTGCCCTGAGCCTCGGGGGCCGGATTCAGACAAGCTGGGGGGCCACATCCGGCCCCTGGGCCTTAGGTTCCCCAGCCCTGCGCTAAAGGGTTGTTGCATCACAGGGATGAACCAGTAGAGGGCCCCAGAGCACTTGACTAGTGAATTAACATTGGCCGTAGGGCTCCGCCGCGTCGCATCGTTAGACCCAACAGACCGTTAAACGTGGTCCCTCCCTCCGCACGCCAGGTACAGCGCCCAGGAGTACTACGACAAGCTGCCCGAGCTCAAACAGGCCATGGATCAGATCCGAAGCGGCTTCTTCTCTCCACAACAGCCCGACCTCTTCAAAGACTTGAGCAACATGCTGTTCCACCACGACCGGTAGGGGTCCCGGCGCGGCGCTCTCCGCTTTGGGGTCAAAATACCTGCCTTCCCAGGCGCCCGGTGCAGAGCCCAGCAAGCTCCCCGGAGCTCGTCACCCTTCCCAGGGCGCGTGGCGATGTCCGGAGGGGGCTTGAGGCGCTGTGGTCCAGCCCCTCCATGGCACTTAGCCGTTGGCCGCCGTGTCTTTAGCCAGAGCTCTTTGGAGCCCAGATGTGCAGAGCGCTGGCTGCTCCTTCCTCCTCCCCCCGAGATGTCTGTATTTGAGAGCTAGAGTGATGGAAAGCAGGTTTGGGCCCTTTTGGCGGGGAGGGGAGGCTCTTTACAGCTCTATTGCTTTGGAACTCGCTGGCCTTGATTTCAGCAGATTCTTGTATTCCGATTGGGGAATATAAAACCGCTACAGTTGGGCACAAATGTACCCAGAGGTGGCTGTTCCTGAGCTGTGAGGATTCCCCAGAGCCTTTTTGAATGGTACAGCCAGTTTCCCCTGGATCCGAGCAGTAACCAGAAAGGATGTTTGACAATTAACCAGTAAGCCTCCCCTGCTACCAGTTAGGGTTATCAGGTGAGAGCTGGGGCCCGCTGTGGGTGGGGGACACTCCAGAGCAGCCCCCGCCTGCGGTCCTCCCCCACCCAAACCCGTTTAATCGGTTAACTGGTTAAACTTAACATTTAACTGGTCAGCTAATTACCTGGGATTTTACATCCTAGTAA